AGCTTAGCCTGTGGTCCCAAAAACCAAATCCCTCTTGTGGACGCCAGCTTTGTAGCCAGTCATTCACCCAGAGGATCTTCCTTTCTCTTTTGATTCCTCTTCCGAGCACCAGTAGGATGGAAGAAAAAACTATCTGGGCCCCAAAGTCCTTGAGTTTCCTTCCCAGTGTTTCAAAGTGATTTTTCGGTAACTTCTCTTGACAGTGTCGTTTGTTCCTACGTGGACAAGAAGAAACAGATATGTATCTTTAGGTTTTATGAATGATGGCAATCCTTCTATCACATCCGTTATCTGTCCTCCAGATAGTCTGTGGATCCTCCCAGCAAATTTCGGTCTCAATTCCACATAGCAGGAAATCCCCGACTACAGCTACTCTCCTCTTCTTCTTTTAGGTTGTGGTTTCAGCGACTGCATTCTGCTGCGCTTCAGCCCTACTCATGTCCTCCTATGGAGTCTTCTCCACATCCTGTCCGACAGACTCTTCAAGTAATTGAAAGCGGTTTTGTATTTCCACTGCGAAAGAGTGTCTTCTCCTTCTTTTGCTCCTAACTGTGATTTTTTTCTGTGGTGGTTCCTCCACTATATTTGTAGTCTCTACAGCATTTTCCTCCACTGCAATGTTTTGGTTTTCTTCCATCAACGGTGCCCTCTCTGACAGCTGCTGCTGCTCAAGCATTCTGTCAGATGAAGCCTGTTTCATCTTCTCTTATAGCTTTGAGTGTGGCTCTGATTTTCTCTTCTAACAGTGCCACCAGTTTATACTTGTTACATGTATACAGCATTTTGCACTCGGGAACAAAGACAAACAAAGCACAAACTTTGCAGGTAACCCTCCATAATCCCTTCTAGCTTATTTACTTTCAACTGCTTGTTTAGGATACCTGTTCCTCAAGGAACCAAAAAAATTGTTAGGGACCTCCCCTGGCAAACTCCCTATTTGTTCTCCTGTCCGCAAGCTCCCTAGGCCTGCCTTTAGCTTTATTTGTCAGCTGTGCTCTGCCCGGAGTCAGGAATCAAAAGGCCCTCACAGCTGCTACTTACAGCCCTCAGCAGTAATCAATATACTCCCCTTTCTGTTAGGCCAATCACATGGCTCTTCCTGTTAAGGACACACCCTGCTCTTTAAGTAGAGTACGTGGTGCTTCTGTTTGGGCAATTCCTAGGGGTTACTTCAGGTCCTTTCCTGGTGTTACTCTAAAAAAAAATCCACTTACCTCTCTGTCTTTTTCTCTTTGGTCTCCTTCCTAACTCTCCCATGGCAAACTCCGCATGTTTTTTCAAAAGTAATGAGCATGAGTGTCACGATTCCACATGGCCCCTGATTGTTTTACCAAACTAGGAGCTCATGCTATGTGCCCCTCAGCTGCCACTAGTTGATTTCATCAACAATGCCTATTATTAATGATAGATGTCCAGGCCCATATGTCATCTTAAAAGAATGAAATGAATTATTGATACAGGTATTGACAGAGCAAGCAAGGTGGTTAACTCTTAAACAAGCATTCTTCTTTATCCACCCTCAACTACCGTTCTCCCACCCAAACTCCAAAACTACACCAAACACTTCAACTCTCCCTCAAGCGCCCTATCTCTAAAACCCTGTCTATGTCAATCTAAACTCTTCCTCTTACTGGGTCTCTTATTTCTTGTGACTCCACCCCTCCAGCACTCCCATTGGTCTATGCAAATAGCAGATGAATATTCATGACCTGGGCCAACGCCACATTCCTCCCCCCTTAATAAGTTTTTCTTAGCAGGGCAAACTTAATGGTTTGCCCTCATAAACAAAGGTTTATGAAAGAGTACAAATATCAACCTCTTAGATTATTTACATCACTAAAGATTTACCACATTACTCTTATATCAATAAAGACATACAGTGGTGCCCCGCATAACGAGCAATTCGTTTAATGACGAATCCGCATAGCAATTTTTTTCGCATAATGATGTTTTTTAAAACAGCTGATTGGCAGTTCCAAAATGGCAACTGGGTAAAAAAATGGCTGCCCGCAGTGTTTTCGCGCCCTTTCCTCGCTTACCGGGCAGCGAAAATGGCGGCCACATGGAGGATCGTCGCATAACTGAGTTTTTCCCCGTAGGAACACATTAAATGAGCGGTTTGAGCCAGCCCCAATATAAGAAGTGACTGGACTACCCCTGAAGTAAGAGTCTGGAGTTGCAAAGTTTTACCAGAGTTAAGTTTAGTGGACCTGTTCGAAGCTGTTGAGCAAGAAGTGTTAAGTAATAAAAGAGAGCCTGTTAAAGTTTTGAATGAGCCTCTGACCCTCATTTCCGTGCTGTGGGGGGAAGAAGCCTCCACTTCAACTCCGGATTGCTGTGCCTTATGCTGCACATAAAACACCTTCTTAGGCTGACTGGACTTTCCACCTTTATGTTGGTTAAAAGCCCTAGTCTTTTGAGTCTCACGCTGAGTCCAGAAATGACCTTTCTCTCCACATGCATAACATTGTTTACTGGCCTTGGGTTCAAAGTAAAGGGACTTGTTAACTTTTCCCTCAGAACTATTAGATTTCAGGGGACTATACTCTGGAAATAAGTTTGCCTTAAAATGGCTTCCCTTAGCTTGTGCCTAACTGAGCTAACTTTTGTTCTTCTTCATGTTCTCTGTGAATGCACACTAATGGGTTAATCCACGTCTGCGCAGAGCAACCTCGGAACGTTCTGGCTCGAGCACATGGTGCCGGGACCTCCCATACGCTGGCTATAACTCCACACCTGGCACTGAGTGGCTCAGTTCCTTTATTGCTGCCGCTGCAGCAGCTTCATAGGACTTCACGTGTTTGAATCTTTTTTCCCATCTTACCTTCGGACTTCCCTGGCTTCATTTGCGGACTTTTGACGATTCTTCTTTTTTGTGAGTTAATCTGAAAGAATAAAATTGGACTGTTAGTGTTTGTTACCAGTACAGAGGTTTATGGCCTCGCCAGGCCTCTTTAAGAGGTGCGAGGTTTCCTCCAACAAAATTCTCCTTTCGAACGGTCATTCTTGACAGGGGCTTTACGGATGAGGCAGTGCCTTTTCCTATGCCTCAGCAGAGATTAATCCAAATCAGTTTGTCAGTAAACAGACAATGGTATTGAGAGTAGTAAAGTCAAGAATTGTATCAATATTATAGCAGTAGTAATACATACAGAATAGTCCTTTCTTCAGTCCTTTGGTCATACACGTTACAACAATCAATATCAGTCCATTTACCATATCATAAATCAGAGTTTGTAGTAAATTCTGCTTTGTAAATCAATCCAGCAGTGTTTCTCCATTTGACTCCCCAAGCAAAGAGTGTACAGTACTGAGACTGTCAGCTTTATTGCCCCTTGTGGCCAATTGGAGATTATCTTCTGTAGCATTCTTATTAGCATTTTGTTTCCACAGCTGTATAAAGTTTAACTGGTAGCTTGTTGCTAACACAGCTGCAGTCTTTTAACAACTCTTTCTACAGAATGTTCTACCAACTTTCTTAAAAACTTTATCAACAATTCTTACAGGTATTTTCAAGAACTGACAATCTCCAATTATTTATCACAGTTTGTACATTTAAATCAATATACAATATTAAATAGGCACATAATTTCCATGCTGATAAATTTTATACATGTATATTTCACACACACACACACACACATATATATATGTATATGTATATGTATATGTGTGTATGTATATGTGTATGTGTGTATGTGTGTATGTGTGTGCCTTGTGCATTTATTCCCATTTTTATTTTATTCCCAACATTTTGTAAGCTTGTTTATGCCTTGTTGGTCCCAATATTTTGGTCATGCAATCTGCTATGTTTTTCTCAGTTGCACAATACAGTGATGCCTTGCAAGACGAATGCCTTGTGCAACGAAAAACCCGCAAGACGAAAGTGTTTTCTTTTGTTGTTGTTTTGCTTTTCCTCCCCTTTCTATTCCCTGGAGCTTTGCAAGAAGGGGGAAAGCAAGGATCAAAGCGATCCCGCAGCAGCTGAGGGATCTCTTTGATCCCTTTCCTCCTTTTCTTATGCCATGCAGGCATAAGAAGAGGAGGAAAGGGGAACCAAGCCATCTCCCAGCCCCAGGGTTGAGATTCCCTTTGGGCAGACTTTAGCAAGCTGCCAGAAGGGAAAACCCTTCTCTGTTTATGCCCCCGAGTAACAGCTGATCTGCAGGGGCAAAAACAGATAGGGAATGACGGGACAAATATAAAAGAGTTATATTTGTTGCTTTGTATTTATTGGGGTCTCTGGACCCCCAAAATACGAAGCAACAAATATCTGACGAATCAGGGATATTTAATAAACATCCTGATTTGTTTTTATTCGTCCCCATGTCTAGTGATAACCTTAATAATAGATAAATTGACTTCATAAAGAATGCCATGGCCTTGTGTTTGCAAAAACTGAGTAGAGCTGTTAATGATGAGGCATTTTGAAGGTCTCTAATTGATAGAGCTACCATAAGTCAGAAACAACTTAAGGGTACATAGCAACAGTATTGTGCAATTTTATCTTGATGTTAAATGAACACTGTTGTTTTTATTTGTTTCTGATACTTGGCTAAACAACTGGCTGCTAAACAACACACTGGCAACACAGCATCAATAGGCATAATCCATGGTGCCCACAGTGCCCAAGGCCTCTTGTCCCTTACATTTTTTTAAGTAAAATTGTTTTCTACCATATGAAAGAAAAGAAAAGGCTACTAATAAATGGGGAAAAAAGCAGAAGAGGATGTCTTACAGTGATGGGGTAGGCAGAGATGGGGTGGGAAAGGTAATAATCAAGGAAAGGGCAGGGGAGGACAGAGCAAAGTGTTGATGGATGTGATGGAGCAATGAGGAGAGAAAAAATGGTCTGAGTGAAAACATATAAGCAGTCTTAACTAGATATGCTATAGTCATTAATTCAGTAAATTCTAGAATTGTTATTTTTGCAGTGTTGAAAATAATATAACCTTGCTTTTTGCTACTTTTGTGTTTGTTTCATTTTGTTTTGGTAATAGACACGTCGCAGTATGGTTTTTGCTAGACACCTTCGTATGGTGGGCAACTTGTTCAGAACAGAACACTTAAACTCTACTGATGAAAAGGACAGGACACAGTATGATGAGAACTGGACAAAGATGAAGGTAAAATAATTTAATTGCCCTACAGGCCTTTACCACTACTTGTTTCAGTTGCCCTTCTGTGGGGAGTATGAGATCAGTGTAACTTTAAATGTATAGGAGGTTCATCTATTTGAATGATGCTCCTAAGATGCAACAGAGAAAAGATACATGCTTGTTTTCATTAGTGCTTGGAATGCATCTGGAGCAATTATTCCTTCCATCTGCTCCAAAAGAAAGGCTGTGCAAATTTTGCCAGTGCTTTCTCCTTTCCTTTGGGACTGGTCCAGTTGGAGTTAATAGGACAGAGCAAATAAGTTTTTTTAAAAGTTAACCTTTCAATAACAACAACAACAACAACAACAACAACAACAACATTTTCAGTCAAGTCAATTCTGACTTACGGTGACTCTTTTCAGGGTTTTCAAGGCAGAGAATATTCAGAAGTGGTTTATCATTCCCTTTCTTCTAGGGACGTCCGGTGCAGCTTACCCAAGGTAACACAGACTAGCTCTTTTGAGATGCACAGTGAGGAATTAAACTCCCAACCTTTGACTCTGCAACCAGAAACCTAAACCACTGACCTGTCAATAGATTTCAAGAAATTCAATTTAAGAAGCTAGTGCAGAAATCTCAGCAAGAAAAGAATAGGACAATGGATCAGTGGCAGGATTCAAAACTACAGTGGTGCCCCGCATAGCGACGTTAATCCATTCCAGGATTAACGTCGCTATCCGGAAACATCGCTAAACAGAACAAAAAACCCTATAGGAGCGCATTAAACCCTGTTTAATGCGTTCCTATGGGGCAAAAACTCACTGTTCAGCAAAGATCCTCCATAGGGGCGGCCATTTTCGGTGCCTCTTAAGCGAGGAATCCGTCCAGAAAACAGCGGGCGGCCATTTTGAAACTGCCGATCAGCTGTTAAAAAAGCATTGCTTTGCCATGATCGGTTCCTCAAGCAGTGAACTGATCATGGCAAAGCGAAATTCCACCGCCAGCCAGCCCCAGATGATGCCCGGCCTCCTTGGCGGGGCTCTCCCAGGGCGCAGACAGGCAGGCCAGAGGGGCAGGACACGTCCAGGCCACTGCCTGGGCAGCTGTGGGGCAAACACACACTGCTCGGGGCGCGGGGCCTCTCCCTCCTGGGTCCGGGCTCCTCCGGCTCTCCTCGGTCCTTGGCGCTCCCAAAACCCATCGAGCCTTTCCAGGGCCCGCCCCGCAGACAGGGCATCGGCTGCCCAAGGCGCTTGGCTCCGGCCTCTGCCTCCGCCCCCCTCCTGCCCGCGGCACCCGGTGGGTGGATGCGGCATCGCAATGCGATCGCAAAAGCGATTGCAAAATCTTCATCGGTATGCGGATTCGTCGTTAAACGGAGCGCCCGTTAAGCGAGGCACCACTGTATTCTACATTGAAATTCCTAGAAGGCAGAAATGAACCATTCCAGGATGACTCAGGAGTAGCAAGACACATTGTAGCAGGATGCTGCCTATCTGTGGAAGAAATATTAACAATTACCATATTTTTCCGTGTACAAGACTATATTTTGTCTGAAGTATTTAGAGTAAAATATGAGTGTCATTTATACATGGAAGCAAGCTAAGGAGAGAAAAAACAAGTGGAGAGGAAAGCAGGGATCAAAGTGATCCTGCAGGGCTTTGATTCCTGCTTTCCCCTCTACTTGCTAAGCCTTAGCAAAAGGAAAGCAGGGATCAAGGTGCTGCAGGATCACTTTGATCCCTGCTTTCCCCTCTGCTTGCTACGTCCCATGGGGCTTAGCAAAAGGAGAGGGGAAGGATCAAAGCAATCCGTGGCTGTATAAGGGGAAAGGGGATCAAAATGTGCAGTCGTGGAATTGCTTTGATCCCTTTCCCCCTCGTTTTGATAAGCCATGTGGGACTTAGCACAAAGGCAGAAAGCAGGGATCAAAACCATCCTGCAGCACTTTGATCCTTTTTACCCTACATTTGCTAAGCCCCACCTAGATTTCTTAATTTTGGGTTAGAAAAGTAGGGGAGGTCTTATACATGGGGGTGTCTTATACTCAGAAAAATACAGTATATCCAGTGTTAATTTCTCCACCAGTAAAAGGGGGTATCCTGAGGAAGAAATTCAGCAACTCATCCAGCTGCAGGGACACACAAGAAAATGAGGCTTGCTGAAATACCCTATTAATGAAAGTAGCATTTGAAGAAGCTTGTAATATATAAAGTCTCTTTATAATATATAAAGCTCTGTAATATATAAAGTCTCATAAAAAACTTTGCTCAGCCAGATAGCCACCTTGCATATATCATTAGTACTAAATACTGCAAAACATCTGGTGAAATTGGCACTAATTGCTGAATGGAGAATAGATTGTGAACCTCATAGGTTAATGAGATGTCGGGTCTTGATCTGTCTGCCACAAGTCACTCTTAGGAAATGTATGTCTATAAAAGCAAGGTGGGAAGATGTAGATTCTCAAATCCATTCCTTGTGTTCTCTGTGAATGCACACTAATGGGTTAAATCTGCGCCTGCGCAGAGATCTTCTGACTATTATGCTAATCTAGGCAGGACCACCCCCCACCTCACAAGGTCCGCCCGCCCTCCAAAGTACCTCAGTTCTTTTTTACTGCTGCCGCATGAGGTCTCCTCTTCGAGCTGCTCCTCTTCGCCGTCGCAATTTCTAAACAAAAGAACAAGTTGCTTATTACTTTTTCACCTCAATTGAGTCTGTATTTAGTTCTGCTCAAAAGAGATCTGTGTCGATTCTTCGGAAGACACACTTATGATTCCTTCTGCCCAGCCAGAATCACCCATCTTGGCTCAACTCCCAGTCTCACCAGTTGAGGCGGACATGACTATGATACCGATGTCTCCGTAGTTGAGTCCACCTTCTACTCATCGCTCCACATCCTTGGGTGAATTGGATTCAGCCTCTGGTACCGCAACATCCTCCTCTGTGGAAGAGGCAGAGAAAAGAGCGACACACCTCTCACGGTACTGATTTGGACAGACCCACTACACTGACTGGGTCCATCCCATCCCAAGAGCCATCCGGAAGGCATAGGCACTCGAAGAGGGTCAAACTCTATGACCCAACAAAGTACTACAACCCTATCTACAAATGTCCTCGGTTTCGAGCACATTGGTACCACCCTTCCGAGCTTGATTACTACCGAGATCGCTGTCACCGACGTCATTATTACTATAAATTGGACACTTCGTCCTCATCGTCGTACCCTCAGTACAGACACCGGTACCGTGACACTTACTGGTCCCGGTCTTCGTCAGACATCGACATCGTCAGACAACTTATACCTCCCGCAAGAGACAGTATATGGATGTCTCAAAGTCTCATGCTACAGTACCAAAAAAGCCTCGCAATTCGGTACCATCACTTCAAAAATTGGTACAGTCGACCACAACCTGTTCTGGTCCTCAACCTGGTACTAAACAATCTACCAGGGACCATCCCAAGCAAGCCTTGGTACTGAGCCAACATCAGTCATCTAGAACCCATCATAATCCACTGGTACCAATTCCATCTCTATCTAAATCTCACCATACTGCACCAGTTTCAACGCCACCATTCTGTGGTTCATCTTCTCCTGCTCCTTCATCGCATTCTACCTCCACACATTCCTCCTTCTCTGTTCTGGACCAAGGATCTATACCTGACTTACCAACACCTGACTCTGACAGTAATCATAATGATCTACCATCACCTTCAGATGATTTTTATCACACTCACAACTGATTTTACTTATTGCTAAATCAATGGACTTGAACGTCCAACAACCTTCACAAGTACAATCTGACAAAGTATATGAGGACATTAACAATTAGCAAACTCTTCTTCCAAGCTTGAGTTTCATACCATCTCTTCTTGACTTGACCAAGCAAACTTGGTCTAAACCAAAGTCTATCCCACAAATGTCACGTAAAGTAGAAAACTTTCACAGAACTCATGGAAATGACACTACATTTCTCCACAAACATCCACCACCTAACTTATTAATAGTTGACGCTACTCAAAATAGAGCGCGCAACTGCTCTTCCACAACACCTAGCAATAAGGAGGGAAGAAAGCTGGACGTTGCAGCCCACAAAGTGTACTCTCTTGCATCATTTAACCTTTGTGCTGCTAATTATATTGCAGCAATGGGAGCGTACCATCGCTATTTATGGACCAAAACACTACCATCTACCCAGTCTGCTGCAGGTGAATACAAGACACGAGGACTAGCCTTCTACCAGGAGGCTATGGCCCTGGCACGTCAGGAAAGAATAACAGCTAGGCACATAATTGATGCCTCCTCTAGACAGATGGTTGCAGTAGTAGCCCTCTGCAGATAAGCATGGCTGAGATCCACCCTAATACCAGATGATGTTGGAATGAGAATCAAGGACCTACCCTTTAACGGTTCCGGCCTCTTTGAAACTGCCGACATTCTGGAAAACCTGCAGAAATTAAAGAGAACAACGTGATCATACAATACTCAACAATACTACAGACCGTACCGATTGCAATGGCGTCACCCTTATCAATACCAGCAGTCACGATCATATTACAATAAAAACAAATATTCATCACAATCTACCACCCCTTTCCAACCAAAACATGCAGTTCAGCGACAGGGACCAAAACAATCATTCCGCTGCCCTGACAAGAAACAAAAGTAGGGCCTTTGACTTCGTTACAACCCAGATCCGCCACACCTACCTTCCCGCTACATCTGCCACCCAGTTCTCACCACATCTTCCAGTCTGGACTTCCATCATGACAGACAACTGGCTACTTACCATCATCGCCACCGGCTACACCATAGAATTCGTGAACTTACCACCTCACAACCTCCTTCAGCAAGAGGTCCAGTCCCCCCTCTCAAAGGAAGCCATTTCACCCACCACTATCACAGAAATCCATCCTGGGTTTTTCTCTCGTTACTTCACCGTCCCAAAAAAGACAGAGGACTAAGACCCATTCTTGATCTATGGGACCTCAATTATTATATCATCTCAAAACAGTTTGGGATG